TGAGAGTAACACCTCAAATTAAGAGAAGACGGTGATGGTCCCGCATGATCCACCCTAGAATAATAGTTACAATTGTTCATCACAATCCCTTTATCCAAATCATTACCTTTAGTAGAAGATGACCAGCCAGCCCTCCTTATCCTCCGAGAAATGGCCAACCAGAATCCACACTTTTCAAATTTTCAAATTCTTTGCATTCCATCTTTGACGTTTTCTCTGTATGCACTGATTACGGGATGGTCATACACAGAAACAATTCGAATTTAGCCGATCCTTTACACCAACCGGTTGAATCCCAGCCTGAATATGCTTATCTCTCCTTCTTCTGACTACAGTCCACCCTTCATCAACAAACCCATCAATAACATCTGTCACTACCTGTTGCCGATAATTCACCTGAGCAACCTCAGACTCCAAGCGCGGTCCTTCCAAGCACACATCAACCAAAAGGAGATCGTGGCCCACTTATAATCTGATTTTTCTTGGGCAAGGAAGACCCAAAAATCTTTTGATTCTCACCCTTACGAAAGAATATTGGGACCTCCTAGTAGTTTATTATCAATGTCGCAAAAGTCTCAAAAGGAATTGACAATTTTTTTAAACACTGCCACATTCCACACACCCAGGGAGTAAACTTCTGACAAATACGACATGCCCCACCCTCTTTTTGCCCAATCATTGAAACAAAAAGTATCCTCTAAAGGTGGACAGAAAGAGCCTACCAAGATCATTTACCAAGATCTACCGAGCACTCTCACCGATGTCAGGAAAACCCTTCAAGTCAAACTGCACTCTAGGTATAACAACCCCATCTCGTAACACCTCCACCACCGATCTTTCTCTCACCATCTCTCTATCTATCCTCCAAATCGGATGTAGAACGTTCTCTCCTCTCTCTCTCTGTCCTCCAAACTCCAAATCCTTTAATCAGAAACTTGCTAACTATAATTCGATTTAGTTTGATTATAGGAAAGGACAAACAAGATGCAACATGTGGAGCATTGATTGTTTTATTCGCATGTGATTTGTGGGAGACGAAGAAAAACTAGGGACATGTTGTTCTAAAAGAAAGTGCTTTCCCAAGTTCAAGGGAAAGTTTTCATTGAGGTAACTAGTTTTATCACCTGAAAAAGCACTTTTACATAAGAACTATAGGCAACAATGGAAAAATGTTTTTCCAGCTATCACAGAACGTCACACTTTTCCCAAAAAATAAATGTGGAAATGCTGTAGTCCCCCCCAAACAACGACATCTTGTCCTAATAAACCAAGGGACCAAGTCTCCGAAGTGCATATAGTGAAAAGATACGGATTCGCCTAAGTCTAACCTAAAGCAATCACTTCTATATTTTAGTTTTGAGTAAACCATACAATAGTTGGGTACTTATAATGAATAGTAACATAGGTGGAATCTCAGCTGTCAGATCTTCATCATGTGGTTCAGAATGCATATCATTATATGAATTTTAATATTTTCTATAGAAATCATATCATAATGAAATTTTAGAGGTATGTACTAAAAAATAGGGTGCACAATTAACAAATATATAAAAACCTATTTTCTAAAATATAAAATGATCAAAATACCCCTAAAAATGATGGGGGTAATTTGGATATTTTAAATTATTGAAAATAATGTTTTTATATTTTTATATGGTGTGCAATAGTGTTTGGTATATACACACCCAAAATTTCATCATAGTCAGACTTATATAAAAAAAATTAAAATTAAAATAGTGATATTTATCTTGAACCACTCGATGAAGATCTGACAAATGTGATTCCACCTATATTAGTATTCATTATAGCTGCCCAACTATTGTTAGCTTTTTCTTTTTAGTATTTGAGGATACATAGATTTTTCTCACTAGAACCTCGTACAATATTTGATAAAGTTTCTCTCACTAGGACCTCGCAAAATAATTAATAAGAAGTCTAAAAAACCACAAGAATTAAATTAGCCGATACATATATGGTATCATAATGTCCCTTCTCCTTTTTTCTAGCTACAGAAGCAATGGAAATGTCTACAAATTTGGAGAAATACAATTGATTGCATGTAATTCATCAATTACATATTCTAAAATTCACATGGTTTATAGTTTATCAGATAGAAAATTATGCAATAAAAGCATTTACTTTTGGCATAAGAAGGTCACAATCTCCCTTCGACAGGATATAAAATCGGGCAGCAAAATTGGTGCCAATGGCTGGGTCAAAGTCCAAAAGGAATTTTTAAAAAACTTCGTGATATGCTCCAAGTTGTCGGATTTTACAATTTATGGGTAAAGGTTGAGAGTTCTTCGTACCAGAACTAAATGATCTCATAATATACAGCCCCTTACAGAAACCATTCCAAAATTTATGTCGATTTGTAGAAAATATCCATTGGAAGATTTTCACTTGTATAATGTGATTTTAGATTGGTTTGTGCTTACTTATTGAGAGACACAGTC